AAAAAAAAAAAAAATTAAAAAAACCAGGGTCTGTTGGCAGCAAAGGCACAGTTAGCAAAGAAAGGGCTTACCATGCCAAGGTTGGAGCTCATTTCTGCTCACATGGCAGCCAATCTTGTAGACAATGTAAGAAGTGCTTTGGAAGGTTACATAGTGAGGTCTGTGTATGGATGGACAGACAGTATAGTAGTCTTGCATTGGATCGCTGGTCAAGGGAGCTACAAACAATTTGTGCCCAATAGAGTTGCACAAATTAATGCCAAGACTGTCCAAAGTGGAGGTATGTGGGAACAGAGCAAAATCCAGCTGACGTGTGGAGCAGAGGCACCCTGTCCATAGAGCGCCTTGAAATCTGGCTGAAGGGACCAAACTGGCTGACTGAACCAGAAATGTGGCCAACAGTGGTGCAAACTAAGCCAAGTAAAGAGACAGAAGCAGAGGCCAAGCTAGTAAAGGAAGTGTTTGCTGGGGCCACAGAGATGGAGGACACCCTACACCAGGTTTTAGAGAAACATGGATTCTGGCAGACGATACGTATCACGTCATGGGTAGCAAGATTTATCGAAAACTCTAAGAAAGGCAAGAAGCACCAGTTGTCTGGTCCATTGACAACATGTGAGACTGTCAAGCAAGTGAAATTCTGGGTAGGAAGAGCTCAAAACGGCAAGTTAAACACAGACACGTTCCATGAAGATCAGCTCAAACTTAATTTGCAGAAGAATGAAGAGGGTCTGTACGTGTGTAGAGGAAGAATCCAGGGAAGCTACCCTATCTACTTACTGCCAGTTACCTTGTTAACAGAGAGAATTGTCCATGATAAACATGTGCTAAGTCTTCATGGGGGAGTGGGACTTACGATGAGTTTTGTTCGTCAACAATATTGGGTGCCGCGACTAAGACAGCTCACAAAGAGAGTTATCAGAGGATGCTATGGGTGCAAGAAATTCCAAGTAACTGCCTTCTCAAACCCACCAGTTGGGAATTTGCCTACAGACAGAACGGAAGGATCAACCCCTTTCGAAGTAGTTGGCCTGGATTTTGCAGGACAGATAGGGTACAAACTTAAGACAAAGAAAGAAGGAAAAGCGTATATTTTGTTGTTTGCTTGCAGCCTAACTAGAGCTGTCCAACTGGAGTTGCTGCCGAACCAAAGAGCTGAGGAGTTCATCAAGCATCTGAAACAGTTCATCACGAGGAGAGGCCGCCCCAGGAAGATTTATTCTGATAACGGGCGAACTTTAGTTGCCACAGCGAAATGGTTGAAAGGGGTGGTAAAACATGAACAGCTGCAGAACTACCTCGCTCATCAGAAAATAAGGTGGCAATTTAATCTAAGCAGAACCCCCTGGTGGGGGGGGGGACAATTTGAGAGGCTTGAGGGCGTCGTAAAATGGGCATTGTACAAAAGTATTGGTCGAGCTAGCCTTACATGGAATGAGCTTGAGGAAGTCTTGCTGGATGTAGAAGTGGCTCTGAATGATCGCCCTCTGTCATACGTGGAAGGCGACGTGCAGCTACCAGTTTTGACTCCATGTGCCGTGATGTTTGGTCAACCAAGACTTGTCCCAGAAGAAAGCACAGAAGAAGGCGATGCTGATTTGAGGAAGAGAGTGAAGTATCTACGCCGGTGTAAAGAGGTTTTATGGAATCGGTGGAGTGGGGAGTATCTGAAGTCTCAGAGGGAAAGACACAACATGAAGCACAAATCCAAACAGATGAATGTCAAGCAAGGAGATGTCGTCCAGGATGCTGAACGTAACCGAGGGAAATGTAACATGGGCATAGTAGTCAAGCTTTTCCAAGGCCGAGATGGGGTGGTATGAGCCGTTAGGCTCAGGGCAGGAAAATCTTACCTTGAACGGGCAGTCCAGCATCTGTTTCCTTTAGAGCTTTCCTGTGATCAAGAACAGCGTGTAAGAGAAGACCCATCCCTAAATCCCAGAGCAAGGGAGTTTCGCCCCGTTAGGAGGGCTGCAGCTGTAGCAGCGGAGAACATTCGCCGCATTGCGGAATAAGAAGCAGTCGAACACTGAACTTACGTTTATTTGATCCAAATTACTTGTATCAAATAGGGGAGAGTGTGAGAATTCGTAGGTTGATACTCGGATGTTAAGAATGTTTCGTTCGCCCTTTTTTCAATTTGTAAACTAGTCAGGCACACCCTAAGGTCATCGGGGCCTGGGAGCTAGGATTATAGATATTATAGGATGTCGTTTTCAAGAAGTGATGTATCAGCAAAAAAAGCACATGGCGAGAGTTAGTGATCTTTACCAAGAGAGAGTTAGAAGTATTAAAACAGTTCTGTTCTTTATCGTGAGCGTGAGTTTATTGTCTGGAGAAACAGTTCCGACACATATTTGAAAATAGCAAACAGTGGGAAGCAGGCTTAAACACAAACTTAAGCTTTAAGATTCAGGATTTTTAGAGACACTTTAATCTTGTATTCGTGAATGAAAATTGTGGTCTCTGTATATGTTTCACCAAATTATATTTCTTTCATTGATTGTTAGTAGTCTCTCTTGCAATTTTAATAGCTGCGCCTTTTGTTTTCAGTAATTCAAGAACATCACTTGCAGTAGTACTCAAAATGCCGCGCATATCAAATGCTTTTGAAGATTACACATCATTCTAAAACAACTAAATAAAAAATAAACATAAAATCTTTATCATGTTTAAGCGTCACTATTAATGTTCATTTAAACACTCAGCTCTCGCTGCAAATTTGGCCCTACTCAAAAGTGAGAACCAGCTGGTCGAATAGGTGATTTTCTAAATTTTTTTAATGTTTGGCTAAAAGCCCACGCATGCTTCGATCGTCCTGAATATTAAATGAGTGCAATTTGTATTGCAAAATAGTAAACCACTGCATTCTGTCCAAGGTTTGTATGATAAAAACAGCGCCTTATAGTACTGTTTCACCTCAGATGTGATGCATAAAAAGTACAAAAGGTTCGTTTACATGCCCCCAGATTTGTACGCAAGATTTTGTAAAGTTTAAAACTTGTCGAACGCCAAAAATTTCGCCTGATTTGTTTTTCAAGAATTTGTTTTCCAGGCCTAATCTACTGTGATCATGAGCCATTATGGCTCTTAAATGTGATCGAAGATGATTGCTATTTTTTGGGTGTACATATAGGGCTATCAACTCGATGTAAGATTTCGTTCACTCCCGGACTGTTTACAAATTATTTTTCTCTAAAATCAGTTAGCCTTTCCCTCAAAAGCCACATGAAAGTGCTCTAAAGTTAACTGATTTGTGGAATACAAGTTTATTGTTTGATTTAAATGATAAATTGATATTAATGGGAGCTTCACTTTTAGCCCTGGCTAACTCTATATATTAGGTTACAAAATAAACATTACAGCTACAATTAAACATGGACAAAAATTACATGAATAATTTTTGTTTTCATGTACTATCTTAGGTGTTACATTTTATAACAAGAAAAATGCATTAATTTTACATTTTGCAAGAAATCCCACTTTTTTCTGTTATCTTGTTCAAGTCGCAATGTATTTTTCTTACAATTTGATGCACACAACAGATACAATTAAAAAGTCATCAAACTGAAATTTATTTTCAGCACCAGCATGGATAATTAATGGATAATTGTGTAATCATGTAACTCGAGTACATAAGTCTAGTCACCGTCATGCGTTAGTCAGTCACACGCTCGCTGCTATCACGGTCAAGCTCATATTTGATTTGTTCGACCACACCCTATTTGTTTGTCATGACTCAACCAACTCGGTGTTCCAAGCGTCTCTCCAAATCCACCAAAAAAGATCCCAAATTTCTCTATCCTGACCTTCAATGTCAGTTAAAAGACTGGCATTTCCTGGCCAAAGAGCCAGAAAACAACTCCACATTCAAGGATGCAGCATTGTCAGCTCGGGGTTTAAAAGATCCCTCAACTGCCTCAGTAACCAGATCTTCTTTGCAGCGGCAACAAGATCATGTCACAAGGGACCTTTCCCAAGACCTCAAATTGGTGCCACTTCAAAAAGAAAAGCTCTCACTTGAGTTGAGGTCTTGCATTTGCGGCACTCCTCCAATTCTTCTCAAGAAGGCGCGGAGTAATCTCCTTCCACCACCACCAATCCAAGGAAAAAAGGGCACAATTGATTGGCCACATGAACTACCACTACACACAATGCTTCTACATTAGAGTACAACAAACTAGATCTCCTGGACTTTGTCACCAGCTTCTTGTCTATGATTAAGCCTTACAAAACGCACAAGAAGAATGCTATGCTTGACTATTTAGAATTACTCATGTTGAAGCCTTCCAGTTATTCAGGGCCTAGTGTTCGAGATTTTCTTTTGCATCCAGCCAAGCAAATCGAGTTACGTCGCCTGGAATGGACAAGCAGTCCGGAGATTCGCAACAAAGCAGTAATGTTTTTCAAGCTTTCCGATCTGAAATTGAGCCAAACCAAAACCAGCTCTGGAGCAACCTCAGCGAACTTCCAATCTTTCTACTTCCAACCTCGCTCGCCATCAACAACCAAGCCTGACATGGAAAAGGACTGTCGCCTATGGAACTTAGACTACGATTCCTGTTCATGCCACAAATCGAATTCTCATGCCTTCAATGCCCATCACAAATGCCGCATGTGTACTAAGGAGCACCCTATGCTGCATTGCCCAAAGAGGAGAAATCCAATCCCTCCTTCAAACACAACATCTATGTGACTACTATGCGAGTCACTCGAATTGGAACAGCCTACTTTCCTTTTGACCAAGGACTCGCACAATGATACATGCACCTCATACATCTTCAAATCTAAAACAGTCTATGTCAGTTACCTCCATCATTCAACATATTTTAGCCTCTCAGCAGGATCTGCTTGACGTTTTTGGCGCAAAAATTCCAGTTCATACATCTCTGAACATTGGGACGTGGGACACTTGACTAAAAGACTATCTCGATCGCCACATCATCAGCTGATTAATTACACAGCGGACACTTTACCCGCATCATCCTTATTCAATCATCCTTCAGCTATCACTTTTCCTGATCACATTGATCATTTCATTTCAATAAATTGAATTAGCACACGGCGCTCTGGCCGGGCCAAATGTTCATAATCCACTTCATCAACTGCTAACTTGTTCGCCACTACAGACTGCTCTGAAACAGGGCTCTTCTAAATGTCGTGTTGTCATTGATCTAAGTTTCCCACCGGATCATTCGGTGTACAGTGGCATCCCCAATAATTCTTATTTGGATGACACGTATAAGCTTTGCCTTCCAGGCATTGATCGCTTATGTGAGTTTATGTTACAACACAGCAGAGATTGCCTGTTGTACAAACTTGATCTTCAATGCACGTACAGACAGCTCCAGATCAGCACCCAAGGATTGTCATCTCCTCAGATTTCGCAACAAGCTTGCTTTATTTTGACACTCGCTACCCTTTTGGATTAAAAACCTTTGCTATGATTTGTCAGCCAACGACCAAGGCTGTCATTTATTCTTTCACTCAGTCAAGCATCACAGCAGATGTTTATCTCAATGATTTTTACGGAGCAGATTCTCCTGAGCAGGCACCTTTAGCCTTTGATAGCTTAAAAGCTTTGTCAGCAGGTCTCGGTTTTCAATCGGCATCAGAGAAAGACAGTCCTCCATCAACATGTATGGTTTGTCTTGGTGTTGAGGTGGATTCCGACATGTTTACACATCACATCACCTTTTCTTGAAGTTTCACTCGGAGTGCCTGCAATTTAGAGTGAGCAGATACTATACCCTTGAGTTAACATAACAGTACTTTTTTATACACTCTTTTTTTCCTGATCACTAACCAATTCTAAACAATGGCAAAATTTTTAAAGAGAATTCATATACTGGTAAATTTTGCAAAATTCAAGGAATGCTTTTCCAAGACTCAGCTGGTACCACCAGTATATCAATAAGTTTCCCCTTTGCTCAACTTAAATTCAAGTAAAATCTTTGACATTGTCAGTTGACACCCTCCACAATTAAGTGTTTTAGTTTCATCGTTATAGCATCCTAACATCAATTGAAGAAAGACTGCTGTTAACACCATCAGGGTAGGGGATTGTGATGGCGCCACAGTGACTATCAATTTGTGTGGAATTGGGTGAGTAGTTCAATGCCCAATTTACTGTGGCCATACACATTACTAAAACATGCAGTGCTGCTTTCTGTCACTTACAAAACATTAGTGCATCAGGAAATACTTATCAATGGATAACGCTGTGACCCTTATTCACTCTCTTGTCACATGCAGTAGCCAAATAGAATACCGTAATGGTCTATTACTTGGTCTACTTAAGTACCTGGCAACTAGGTAAGTTACAGAAAGTTCAAAACAAAGCTGCCAGGCTTGTCATCATGAAGGGCAAATTTTGCGGCAACACCACTCCAGTCCTCCTTCAGTTACACTGGTTACCTGTCTTACTCGGTATGAATTTTAAGATTTAGAGCAAATTATGGTTTAGCCCTGTCTTATATTGGTGATCTTGTTAGCATTAAGCCTTTAACTAGATATAGTATCCAGTTTGACAATGGAGTAATGCTGTCATACCTAAATTTAAAAACTTGCACAACCTTGGGTGTTCATGCCTTGGCACCAAACCTTTCGAACGATCTAATTTTTAAAACTAGCAGTAGCCCTTGGTTAGGAAGTGCGGCCAAACATGTCTGTTAACCTTGGAGATGTGATTGATGAAAACTGCTTTCATAATTGTGTAGGTGAATCAGAAAAAGCCCTTTTAGTTCCAGTTAGAACAAAAGGGATGAATGCGAATCACGAAAACTGGATTGAATAACACAGTAAACAAGACTCATCTTTAATTCAATTAATCGAAGCTTTCGAAACCGTGCACTCTAGCGAAACCTGAATAAACTTTTAAGACTGAATCCACCAGGGAATTGAGTAATTTTATACTTTCGGTGGACAAAAAAAATTGTACCAGAATAATTTAAAGAATATTGCATTCCTTTTTACATTTTTCAAGGGCTAAAGATGTAAAAATTTCTCGTGGGAGTCCAAGAAAATGAATGTCAAATTTCACAAGAATTATGAAAACACAGGTAAATTCTGAAAATTTCATGCGTAAACAGTAATTTTGTGAAATTTGACATTTATTTTCTCAGACAAAATCTCCCTATACAGTTCATAAAGTGTCGCAGACTTAGAACAGGGTGGAGGCTCCTTTTGCTGCCTGCAAATAGGACAGCCAAATCGGTTGACCATTTCTTTTTAGTATGGTACGATTAATGCATAATGACATTATATACTTCAGTTTATTGATTTATTTATCTATTTTTAACTGTTAAACTTGACAAAACATTTTTCTATTATTTAGTTATTTCATTCTATGTATGTCTATTATGTGCAGTCGATCACACCTGGAAAACTGTGCAATACAAATTTTAAATTATTATTATTATTATTATCTTTATTATAATGATTGTCAAGATTGTAGCTCAAGGCTCCTTAAAGTTGCAAAATTTTCAAAGATTCAAATTAAAGAGAAGACTTTTTAACTTTCCAGCTGACTTTCAGATGGCAGAGTATTATTTTAGCATGTGTCAATAGCTGTGAGTCACATGCTGCTCACACACAAATAACATGTTAGTGTTTCGAAGTGTTGAAAATCAAAAGCAAAGCAAATTTTTTTTCTGACCACTTTCTAATTCTCACAGATATAATATTATCAAGACGTTATAATTAGGAAAAGGGATTTCATAGATGAAATCAGGCATGTAAAATAGTTTTCTTTGAGACCCTTACCAACTCCCTAGCATGTAGCAGAGCCACTTTAACTTATTACAGGTGCCTAACTTTAAGTCTCAATTCCTTGCAAATTGAATGCCTTGTGATTTCAGAGTATAAATGTGGTCTCAGATTCGCATGTGAAAAATTCAAGAATTCCAACAACAGTCAAAAGGCCTGTCTGTTATAAAGAACCAGGCAATAACCAGAAGGTAAGAATCGTATTGGAATATCAGATTACAGATAAGCTGAGGATAAAGTAGGCTGACTAGGATTTCTAGCTACTCATCCATGTTTATATACTACACAGGCCCTTCTATCCAACCAGCCAACCAAATCCCAACTGATTTTCACTTTTCCTTCACAGAAGGCAGGCATTAAGAACCCAAAGGTACAGAAATAAATCAGGCTGAATTTTGTTACGCCAAAGATTGCCAAAAAAATGTAGCTAATTTGTTTGTTGAATTTTACTTGCACAGACCATCTCATCTACCCAGCCCAACAAAATCCCCCAACCAGTTCAAGCTTTTTCTTTACAGGAAGCAGCACTCAATAACCCAAAGGTAATTAAAATGTTTTAAATCAAGTTCTCGTACCTAATAGCTCTGTTTGTAAAAAAGGTAAAAGATTATGGTGACAACTGACCAACCACCTTCTGTTCCCTTTATGGCACTGATGTTTCTCAGAGTAATATGCTTGCATAAATTCATCTGCCCCCCTTTTTCCCTCCAGAGAAATCATTGACCCTTTACCTATTTGCAGTGGCTGCTACCTCTAAGTAATAACCAGTCCCTTACTGCAAGCTGTTTTTGTAATTTTTCTTTCTTTTATTTCTCACAAAAAAAAGAAAATGTATGCACATTGGCAATTACATCTTCTCAAAAATTGTACCATTTAAATACCTTTCCCTGCTTATTGCACTTTAATTCTATATCTTACAGTCATTTAATATTTTTATACACACGTATGCACCACGCACTGTGATCTTTTGTGTGCCATAATAAATTCATTTAAAAAAAAGTCACATATACATTAGTCCTCTCTGTGCAGATAAGCTTATTCTTAATTTCATAACAATTCACACTCACCAAAATTTATTTTCCTAGTTCAATAGTGATCACCTAATACTAAAGGAGAGTGAAGTACCCCAACTACGCCTTGCTCTTTCACTGAGGAATGCTCAAGTACTTACAGATGCAATATGGGCATCATCTCTAAGAGATCCTTTAGAGAAGAAATTTCTGTTGGATGTTGCAGCGCAGTGTGAGAATCTTGGAAAGACTGAAAAGAGTGGGAAGCCTTGTAACTACTGACCGTCGTCAGTTTACTTTATTCTATTTGTTTTATTTTTCCTTTTTTTGTATTTTACTTACATCTCTGCGTTTTGGTTTGCACTTCTGGTCACATGATAGTCATGTGACCGGAGAGCACATGGTAGAGCTAGGCGCCATTTTTTTGTTGTTTTTCTGGAAGAGCAAACAGTTCTTCAACGTACACGTGCACTGTATATTTAAAGTAACATCTTTGGTGCAAGTACAGGAAGCAGTATTCAGGGAATAAAATGCTTAAATCAGGGTTCAATTTGTGGAACTCACAGTTAAAGAAATGTTCGCCGAATCGATTGATGTTTGCGTTCTCAGGGAGAACACAGCTTCGACGAGTTTGAGTTTCATTGATAGGATTTGGAACTTGCTTTCAAGGAAAGCACGGCATCAAGTAAGGATTTGTCTGTTATTCATCGCATTTGCATTTGGAATTTGTTCTCAGGGAGAACATTTATTTGACAAGAATTTGTTGTGATTTGTTACATTTGGAACTTTGTCGCGTTCATTGGAATTGTGTCCACATCTACGGATTATTCAAGCTTACGTCTAGTTCAATTCTTCGCGGAGAACGATATTTTAATAGGGATTGGTTCTTATTTACGTGTAAATTTGTTGCTCATTCAGTTGTTTGGGAGCGTTTGGATCGTTTTGTTCTCGGGGAGAACATTGGTTAACCCGTACGAATTTCGTGTTGACACTGCATCACGCTTGTTGCTTTGCGAGAATTGTTTTACATGTACAACCTTTGAGATCTGTGCGGGACGTTTATATTATTTATTTGCTATCAGAGAAAATAGTGGATTTTCTAAGGCATGTGGCAATAGCCATCTTGTTTGTGTTTGGAGTTTATTTGTTTTGTGGCCAATAGTACAGTTGAGCAAAATGTCTGTTCGATCAGTGCCTGTTGCTGACAAACTTGAACGACAAAATGCCCAGGAAACTCTGTCAGAGGGCAGACTTGGAACCCAGTTAAGAAGAAGTTCCCGAGTTTAAGTACCATCTAATATAGATTTTGAAAGAAGAACAGCTGAGAGGGCAAACACATTGAAATATTCCTGTGCAGGTTATGTTGCAACCCTCACGAGACTGCGAGGGAACATTCAAGGCATAATTGAGAACTGTGGACTTTGGAGGACTTACAATTAAGGCGAGATTCGTATGAAGAAGCTTGGAGGAGGTGCGTGAACACCCATGAAGAGTACATTGAATGTCTTGATGTTCTTAGTCGTTATGAAGAAGTTGAAAGGGCTGACGCTAACTACAAGGAGCAGATGTCAAAGAAAGCAACATTTGACAATGAAATTGAAACTGGAAATTCCAAGTCACATCTAGTATTGAGAAACGAGAGAATGACTTAAAATCCTATCCAAGAAAGTCAAGGACGAGTACGAAAAGCGGGTCAACTGGCTCAAGTTCAGCTTCATTAGCAGTGGCGAAGAAAAAGGAAAAACTTGCCATAGCCCAACTGAAGACCAAGCAAGTGCTGCAGGAACAACAGTTACAGCGCAAATTAAGTGAGCTTCAATTTGAGAAGGACATGTTGGAGGCTAAGATGGAGGAAGAGCAGGCTTAAGCGAGTCTTAATGTGTATGAAGAGTTT